AAGAGAGAGAGAGAGAGAGAGAGAGAGAGAGAGAGAGAGAGAGAGAGAGAGAGAGAGAGAGAGAGGAGAGAGAGGAGAGATGCGTGCGTACGCATAGACGTTTTAATCATGCTTTTCGAAAAACATGAAAACGGCAATGGCCGCCGAACGTGTTCGAAATTGTACAATCGGGAACTACGATTAAATACGAAATATTGATAGAGCATAATGCCGTCCAATTTTTTAAAAAATAATCGACAAGCATAAACCATTGAGCCAAATATTCGCGGATTAATCGTAAGATGATCGTAGAAGTAACTCTTTCTAGGAGACGTACATAGCAATTAGCTGTTACTATTTTTAAAAGATGTACAAACTAAACGATGTATTTGAATCTGCGGTACAGTATTGCATTGCGTTAAATTATTGGTTCACGCGTGTCAAACGTGTTAGTAGATTGTCCGATCGTAGTCTGTATAATTTTAAACGTGTAAGTTTTTACGATTTATAAATCTGTTTTCACTTTTGTATTCAGTGTAATCTTTTATAGAGTAGCGTTTAGCGTTTAGCGTGAGAATGTTATTCAAGTATCCAAAGATTTTGTCGAATTTCTGTATACTTTATGTTTTAAGGACCACCAAGAAATATCGATTCATATAATACTGTTACGCTACAATCCAAAGTCTGTATAGTCGTGCAATTAGTCTCGTATTAAGTAAAGTTTTTAATAGACTGTGAATTTCCATGCGTTCGTGGCATTTACGAATACATATCCGTGACACGAGAAGACGTGTACGTGAAAAAATAATTAATAGAGGACGATCGCGTTCCGATCGTTGTGAAGTAACTTGAACAAACGTCGCATGAGGATTCGCAGTCTGTTCGTTGAAGTATTAGCGGTAGTGTCGTTGAGTTATGCGTTTCACGCGTGCGACGAAATTCAATCTCAGAATTGCCATAAATATTATTAGGTAAAAATAATATATTTTGTAATATTAGCGATCGCTATGAATAAGGGAATCGAAAGGATTGCAATTAGTTATCGCATACGCTTATCGATTTAAATACGCGCTCGTAGATCTAACGAACCTTTGACGAGTCTTTATCAAAACAATTCCGTCCAACATTAATATTAATCTAACAGTCGTGTATACGAGACATCACTCGTATACACGATAAGCATATGGAACTCTAACCGAATGAAATATGTAATTAGATGATTATTCGCACGAGAATTGTTTATCATGTAAATTTACTGTATCGAACGTATAAGTTTTCGAGAACGAATAAAACTGTCGGGACGCTTTCTTTCGTACGTTACATTCATGCAACAACTATGTGATTTCTGTATCAATAAAATGTTTAACGAAACAATGGGATAGTGATTGTACGGCAAACTGATCGCAGCACTGAGCACAGAAATATCATTTAATTTCTCCTTATAGTTCAAAGGTCGAATCGCTAACATTTACCATGATTTCAGAGACAAGTGGTAAAGTAAATACGGAAAAATTTTACATGAAAAATGCATTAATAATAAAACCCATGGAGAAACTGTGAACATACTCTTATAAGACTAGAACAGTATGTTTAATATTATAGCTACATAATAGAAAAAGCTACGATCAGGAAAATATATTATATAAATACCACTTCTTTATTCATAATACTATTTCATTAAGAATATTTTTATTAGTTAAACTGAAAGAGAGAGAGACGTAGAAGTATTTTAACATTTAGATATTCTACAGACAAGCTCCATATACGTTTTAAAATTGAAACAAAAATAACGATACAATGGACTACAAATTTTGTTCATTTTAATTGAGAGGTAACTTTGAAATAATCAACTACAGCCCTCTTTGCAAGTTCCAGCGCATGTTTGAACAACATAATCGAGCAATTGTGAATGTCTGAATCGTTGCATTGCTGCATTCCGATCCTGGCAGATCGATCGCCGCGAAGTCGGAAATTTATCGGAGCGCGAATTCAACTTTCCAACGTTCAGAACGCATCCAACAAAAAGTTGAATGACATCGGAGGTTTTAATGACCACTCGGAGGTTCGATCATTACAAAACGAAGAAAAAACGAACTTCCAGCGAAACGAGGGAATTATGAGTAAAGAAGGTCGACCGATCTAAGTTACACAAAATAAATATCGCGTCTTTTTGTTTCTTGCTCGGCACTCGACGAGGATCAACAAAGTGAATTTTCTAACCTGCAGGTAGGAAAGGATTTTGGCAAAGATTGAATCTGTTTAAATCGAAAGTAGCCGACGACCACAGCCACGGCGGTACCGTTAAACTAATTGTCAAACCGCTTAGGATATTCCAATTCGTAAGTATCAAGTACTCGCAATCGATGTTCCAACGATATTTCGAACAGCATCACCGGTCGAATTATTCACCGTAATCTATTTTGCAATTAATCAGCTAGTGGTGTTACTGATTTTCGTGTTCGTAATTTACGCGGTGGCACTTGGAAGCAAGGAAGTGTCGGCCGTGACCTGTATATTACTTGTTGTCCTCTCCGGCGTCTACGTTTTCACTCTGGCGCTGCAATTGATCAGCTATTTTGCCGGCGGAGAATTATATACGATCCCGGTAATAAATCGAACGTAATCATTCATTGCAAAGTGAACTGCGACATTCTCGAACGCTTATTCCCCTGACAGATATTCGTTCTTACCTTCATGGGCGCGATACTATTCGGAATCGCCGTACTCTTTTTGGTACTGAATGCCACCATCCAGTTGTGGTATATACTGGTAACGCTGTGTCTTTGTCTGCTGGCATTCGTATTATTTTTAGTCGAAGTTATAATCATACTCTTGTGAGTATCGCACTCGGTTTATGTCACTTGTAAATATTCGTAGCCGTGAACTTCCCGCAGGTTCTGGAAGCAAACATGCTTCTGCAAGCGCTGCGCTGTCCCGACCCAGGGTGATGTCCATTTCGCCGACTATTGCGATCCTCTCTGCACAGTGAGTTGTTCATTACTTGTTTCGACTAGCTATTACGCAATTTTACTAGAATTGCTTTTGCAGCAACTATTAAAACATTTTCCACCTGCTTAGTAAAGAAAATCGCGGGTTGCTCCTTCGAAGGTCAACATATATAATATTAACCCTTAGCACTCGGAAGATTTTTCTGATTTTGCTGTACAAAGTCGAATTGAAATAACAATCATTATACTACTGTGAAATTTTATAGGAATTAATACATGAAAGATTTTGTGTTTTTATTTGTTTTGCAAGATTAGCTTGCAGTATGCAAAAAAATAACGATTTAAAGATGCCACTTAATATTGAATTGTTATTGTTATCGACTGCAGTCATTGGTTGACTGCGGATTTTATGCATTTATGGCACCAATTTACAGATGAAAGAATGAGAAGATACTGTTTATACTAGTTTTAATCTATTAAAATTGTTAAGAAGCTGTAGCATCATACAACTAACGTACACAATTTTTATTTTGCATACAAATCCGCAGTCTATTCTTTAGTCGTGAAAGTGCATCATCCTATTTAATAAAATTATACTAATTTAATAAAATTATTCTACACGGTAGATACGTTGCAAAGAAACCATGTAAAAAAAGACATCGTATACATACATAAGAAAAATGGCACTGCCCTAAATGTGTAATTTTCTAATTTACGGTTAACAGGAATAATTGTCCCTAAAATTTAAATCAGATGACTTTCCAATCTAGGCGGGCAAATTAGACCTGATGACCAGCGTCAGCGACGTCAGGATACCGCCAGGCGGCGAGGAAGGGATACCTGAGCATTGTTACCGAAAGTTAGGACAACCTCGTCGACGACAGTACGTCGACCGTCCATCCAGCGCGCGATTCGCGTCCGACGTTGAGTTTGCAAAATGTCAAACGGATTCCCCTGCGATGACACACATCCAGAGCCAAGCGAGTAGCACCAATTAACTTATAGTCTACCGGAAAAACCGAAACATCCGCGATACCCTTTGTGTCCTGAATTATTTTACGTGCATTCCTTGTCGCTGCGTTCGCGTTACTTAGACAGTCGTGCACAAAAGTATTGCCACGGCCATTGAACTAACTGTTTGAAAATGGTACTCTCTGTTTCTTGAAATTGACGAAGACCATTTTTCTCTTGCATAGAGATCCGCAGTTTAATCGTCATTTTTCAGTACTAGACTGGTCAGATTTGATGAACTTTAGCAAAACTTTAGACTCAGCGTCAGGTGTGGGAAAAACCGACCCAAACGGTGAGCAAATGCGAATTATGCCATCGACAAATGGGAATGTTTATGACCACTATGGAAACGCAGCCGATGATGCAACAGCAAGCACCATGCGCTCCTTGCTCACCCTGTGCACCTTGTCCTGCACTTGTGCAGCTCATTCGAGGAATGCCGTGTTGTCCAGGGTTTGTGCCTTTTCGTGAAAAACGAATCATCATTCACGATCATTCATTTTGTCTTTGTTTCGAATCAGAAATGCTTTGTTGTTTAGCATTAGAACTGTCAAATCTAATTTTTCCTTTTACAATTCCCGATATTATAAAAGTGTTTCGATGAGAAATTTTTAAATAATCTTCTCCGATCGAGCATACATTGATAGAAATCGTACAAAGCTTAAATAAATTGAACCTTGTCATTGTTGTGAAATAATGTACATTGGTCCCCTTAATTCTAATTTGGTAATTCTAGTGTCAAACATTATTGCATCGTTCAGAAACCTCTAGAAATATGTATATACACATATGACAAGGTATAATCCAAAAGCATATTGTTTTCTTGATGATAGAATGCATTTTCACCAATTTTCCTAAACGGTATAAACTCCGTTTGGTTTTGAATTGTACCATTCACAACTTCTTTCAACATCTTAAAGACATTTTAATTTTCAATAATGGCATTTGAAATTTCTACGTAATCATCTCGGTTGCGAAACATGCCCTGAAAAATTATTCTTTTATACGACGAATAGTTGCAGATGCGTAACAACAGGTATAGTTCAATTGCCGCAGCAAGGTCAACAGCAACAGCCGGTGCGACAGGACCAAGAACAGTTGACAGCTCCGGACGACGTGCAGAAGACGGAGCAGAAATCGAGTGAGAAAGCTCGAAATGATCAGATTGCGATTACGGGTGTTAATACGATAAAGAACTAACTTTCCTTCGATATGTAGGTATCGCCGATCAACGATCGGTGTGCCGTACACCTCGCTTTTCTATAGTCTCGCCCGATCGAGGCATTATCATTTATAAACGAATGTGACAAATATATCATTGAAAAGGTCTAAAACGATTATTTCATTCACTGATCTGATTAATCATTACGACCATATAAACGCGGAAAATTCAAAGCCATCATCCTCTCGGCAATCTACGGGCTATGTTTTATTGTTCGGAATTTTAAGGAGCGGAGAACTGATTTAACAAATTGCTACTTTCCTATATTCGTTTGAAATGCTTGGTCTTCGGAGATCTCAGATTGCTGCGTTCGCCATTTTGAAGGTGAACAAGAGGAGATGACAATGGCAGGAGTGCCGGGCACTGTCACTAAACTCACTGTCGCTTCGTATTGCGTGACACCGAGCAGGAGAACCGAAATATATAGTCAAACTGCGGCCGAAGATCCCAAATGCATGTAAGATGCTAAAACGATTCAAACTCTAATTAGAAAGTATTTTGCAAATCAACCCATTGTTCTTCGCTACGGACGCTATCCGTCGGAGCAGCAGCTCGATTATCTGAACAATTTCCGCTGTCACACTTCTTTCGCAGTTCAGTTTTCAAACAACTGTCACTCGTTATAGAATCAAAAGTAACTTTCAAATTGTTTCTGATATCTAAATGAAAACTTAACAAAGCATCACATTTGTATATTTCATATTATATATTTTCTATTATCTCTGATATAAAAATATACAAATATATGTCTCGGTAAGTCCCTTTTTAAATATACAGGGTGTTTCAACTAAAGAAAGCCATCAACAGTGCTGCGAGTAATTATAAGCTCAAAGCAACTTTCACATTTTTACTGACACTTAAACAAAACTCAAAAAATAAACTATATCTATATATTTCTATTTCCCCCACTATTTCTAATATAAAAATACATAATATAAAAATTAGGATGTTTCGTTACGTATTCGTTTAAATATCGCTAAAATTGTAATTACAATTACAATTATATTATGTATTTTTATATTAGAAATAGTGGGAAATAGAAATATATAAATATAGTTTATTTTTTGAGTTTTGTTTAAGTGTCAGTAGAAATGTAAAGGTTGCTTTGAGCTTATAATTATTATAGGCAATTGCCTATAATTTTCCACACCATCGTAGAACATTCTTCGTCGCATTTCTCTATAAAGTGAGATTGCTATAATGTTCCTAATCCGATTCAGCAGGAGAATTTCCGACGATACAGAGAGAAAGGTCCACAGATCATCGCTGAAAGAGAAGCCGCGCGCGGCTACAAGATCTAGCGTAGATACCAGTCTCGACACTGTCTCCGCTGCTCCCACTGTCACCACGGATCAATCGGAGATTGTGGTGAAGGCCCCTTCGATGGTCCCGCCGAAACAGAAAGTGGCGCAGATGATAAACCTTCTTCAAGAGTTGGAGGAAGGCAAAGCAGCCGACTCCCTGAATAGAGATGCGGCAGCTGTTACCGACGACGAGGAAAGAGGCGACGCTGAGAAAGAAGGGATAACGACGGAGGACGATCAGTTTGATGAAAGTGGAGTAGAGGCTCAGGAAGACGATGGAAAGGCTGAAGAGAGTGACGCAGACGCGAAGACAGTTGACGAAGAACTGGCGAAAAGTAGCGTCGTCACGGACAAGAGTATCGGCAGCGAGATCACGAGCGTGGAAGTCAGCCCGGATGTGAGCGCTGCGTCGTCGCCAAGGCTGTCGGACGCCTCGAAGAGGGAAATCTCGGTGGAGACTTCACCGGCAGTGAAACACGGAGTGGAAACGCAGGCGTAAGAGATTCATATTCGACGCTAACGCTGTCAAGTACTAGAAATAGGGTGCAAAAAACATTTTACAAAAATCGGAGAATCTTAATTTCTTCTTGACACGAAAGGTCTAACATCTTCATCTGAAGTGTCTGAAACCGATGTTCTTTCTAATGTGATCATGAGTCGGCTAAAGTGAAAGAGGGAATTTGATAAATATATCATATATAATTTGATAAATATATAATAATATACAAAGTGTGTGGTATGAATAATTATAGACTCAAAGTAATTTTTACATTTTTATTTCGTGTTATTTAAACAAAAACTTAACGAAATATGAGAAATAAGAAATAATCGTTAGAAATAATAGGAAATATAAATAAATATGATATTTTGTTAAGTTTTCTCGTTGAGACATCAGTAACAATGTAAAAATTATTTTGAATCTATAATCATTATTAGGACGCGGATTTTAATACATTTGTGACAGAAATGATTAGTTAAAATGTCAAAGTGCAAACAGAGTTGAAATACACTTTTATTGAACTTCTGTTTGTCACAATTCAGTTAGACAATTTTTATTTTACGTACAAATCTACAGTCTAGTAATTATGCACACCACTGTATACAGGGTGGGTAATTTAACTTTTCCATCTTGATTTTTCTTGCAATCTACATGCTGTATAAAACAATGTTTCGAACGAAAGTTGTTTGGTGTGAAGAGTGACATACACGGCAACAATACATTTTTTGCTATTTTTCTTTTTTATAAAAATATGAAGATCATCTTAAATTTTTTAAAGTCTATGAAATGCAGAATAAAAAGTTATTTAGGCGTGAGGGAACAGAGATTAATAAACTTGAGTTCGTTTGGTCCAATTTCGAAAAAGTGTCCACGACCGTGTTGTGTGTGTGTATATAACAATTTATTATAATTAGTGAAAATATTTGCCGAGGAACACGAGGTTTTCCCAGCCAATTTTCTACAGTTCATTAACCTAACTGAAACCTTTACGCCTCTATCTCATCTGGCCTCAATGCACAGCTGATAAATAACCGGAAATTGCTTTGCGAATCTATTAGTCTATCAGTCTTCAGCTCGGACTCGTTTCTTTCGTTATGTAATCCCATAAACACAATGAGCAGCAACCGCTTTAATTTCGCATGGAGGTAGTGGAGTTTTGATATATTATTCATAATTATAGCATTGAATAAAACATAAAGGATTTCAATATTTTCGTACAGAAAGAAATCGGTTTCTCTTCTCGAGATTTTAAATTTTCTAAATTGATTCTGAAAATTCTATTTTCAAAAATCCTTCCGAATAAAAATGACTACTCAACTGTTACTTTTGTAAGTGACTGTCAATATTTTAGGTTCAACTGAATTCTAACGTGAAGTGATATGTTTCGATTCCAGAACTGATTCTAGCAGAGTTAAAAAGTCCTCGTTCCTTAAGAAAAAGAACAAAGTTGAACCGTCCGAACAAGAACCGTAAGAACAAAAAGGCTATCACCCTCAATTAATTGATCGTCGCGAATTATTTCTTTTGTATTTAATCGAAACATGAACATTCAGGCAACCTGCGGCAGATGTTCATACCTGGTGTTCCGAAACTATGTCCGAAACCGGTCCAGCAGTTCCGTGTAAACCAGAACCTGAGGTAATTGAATATACAAAAGTTCTAAAACGTCTGAAACCAAAAAATGTTTAAACGAAATTTTGTAAAACTATACGACATGCATTGCAGAAATTTCTAGTAGACAAGCGAGGTGTTCTGGGAGAAATGCCCACTTGTCCAGCTTGTAAAAGAGTACAGGTAAATATCGTAATTAAGTACTTAATTAACATTTGAACAGTGCAAATAATTTACTTAATCAATTAACTATCAGGTAGTTTAAGACAATAATAATTAGACTGGTAGTCATCAAAATAAAAATGTTCAAACATTCACAATAACTATATAAATGTGTATTTATACCTGTAACGATTTCAATGAGTTAAAAATTGATATTTTCAAAGTCTTTTAAATTTCCTGCTGTTTTAAATTTCATTCAAATAGTTGCTATATTCTAGTAACAAAGAGACCGCAGATTTTTATATTATGTGCAACTTATTAAAATTAATAAAGGAGGAAAGTCATTGCAATGTAACTCACGTTCCTCGCAATAAATAGGGCAATCTTTATTTTCCATAAAACTCTGACTAATATTTCGCATTTCAACAGTATTTTTCAGTGTCACCATCTTTCTACTACTACAGCGTTTACAGGGACAAGCGAGGCAGGTTGTACTGTGACTATTGTGCTCCAAAATATGCAGTAAAAGTACGTCAAATGTTCTTAATAAAATTAAATCAAATTTCGAATAATTTACAATATGTATCAGAAATAATACAGAAATAATATTGTATCAGAAATTAAGTGGCTAGAGTGGTCCTGAAATTTCGGGAGCTGAATATTCGCATAAATGTTCGTAGTTTGATCATTCATAATGCGATCAGTTTTGACTGTCTGTTGCAGGTATTGTATAGACACGATCCGAGCGACCAAAAGTTTCTGAAATGCGCCCAATGTGCCACTCTGTTGCGTCAGAAGACCAGTCGGAGCGAAGTAAAATCATTTCTTTTCTACTCTACTGTAATCATGATTTATCAATACAATGTTTGAATTGGAATTTTTCAGTATTTCCGAAACAAGAACGACAATTGTCCAAGATGCGTCCAAGTGCAAGGACGTGTACATTCAGCCAGAAAATAGACAATAGTAACAGAGTAAAAATATCGTGTAAAAATGCTTAAAGGGTTAATGGCATTCATTAGTAACATTTCCATGTACATATATATTGACTTGAGATTAATGACTATGTATATTGTAAGAAATATAAAATTGTATTTTATTACAAAAATATTTTCCGTTTCCGACTTTTTTTTCCACTATCCTGTAATTATTCTATTTATTACGGTTAATTAACGATTGCAACTCCGTTGACTACGTTACACCGTATTTATTTGATGAAAATTAACACACATTGTACATTGCTTGAATAAGCATAACCAGTATTTATTTCAATGTATCGAGCTATCGTATGTTCCTCGAAATAAAAAAAGACAGATTCGTTTATGTAGATGAAAGAAATTTCTCAATAATGATAAAAATTGACGAGTCTTTGTAAAACATTGTGTAGAGCAACAATTCTTCAGCTTGCACAAATCATTTGATCGGGGACAGCACAAAGTACGTCGATAAGCAGCGTATGAAAAAAAAATGGCATACAAGTTTTTGATTCTGTTAGTGACAAATGAAAATGGAGAAGCTACGAACAATCCACTAGATCAAAAATGACACTACGAGCGATAATGGCGCGCGGTTCGAAAATAAACTTGTACAAACATCAATTATTTAGTATATAGATTATAAATATATATCCCGAAGATTATAATGATAGGAAATAACGATTGCTTAATTATTAATAGGACACTAATAAACGCCACTAATCTTTGGTGTAAAACAAACCATCTTCGCACTCTTTAACTGCGTAATTATACCTCTAAATCAATCGAGAACATTAGCCTGTATATGTATAAACCACGTGAAAATATTCCTCGTGCTCGATATAAATCCTTAAAAATTAGACTCATCCGTACACTGATTGCAAAAAAACAAAATACCTACTGCTAATTGCTGCCATCGTTCAAATACTGATTAGCAAAATCATCGACAATTCGATCATCGCAATAGTCGCCTCATAATTTCTCGATCAGAAATCCTTTCTCGTTCTCCTATCGGTTTGTTTACAAACGATAAAACCTCGCCACCGAGGTCGAAACATTTCCATGGAACATTTTGCATCAATTTTCAACTTATCGCGAGCAACGAGCAATCTATTTCTTTTCTTACGCAATGGCACCCAACGAAGCCACAGAGATAACTAGATATCTCATTTCTCGCCGAATAATTTCGATCGATTGAAAATAGTGTTTTTTTTAAACATTTCTTATTTCTATTTACTCGTCATCTACTCGCTATCGCAATAAATAGAATGCGGATTTTTATGCATTTACAACACTCGAGAGTAAAATATTATGCAAGTCGGTGGTAAGAAAGTTTCTCAAAACGATGGAAAATACTTCGAAAATCAATTTACATAGTACTTCCTTCGCAAACCGAATAAAAACTTTTGCACACATCCAAGACAAGACGATACACTTGTATCAGCAACGAATAAATAGCGCTGTATTTCCAAGTTGAGCATCAGTCGAACAACATTTTAAACGAAGAATTTCTTCGAAATGTTCCTCGAATGATATTTTATTCGAAATGCTCCTCGAATAATATTTTATTCGAAGAATTTCTTCAAAATATTTCTCGAATAAGATTTGAATCGAAAAATGTATTCGAAATATTTCTTGAACGAAATTTGAATCGACGAATTTCCTCGAAACTTTGTTATTGGAATAAAATTTCATATCCAAACGTTATTCGAATTAGACTTTTCATCGTAATATTACTCGAATGATGCCCAAGAAATTCAGTCAAGAAACCGATTTTTCCGATTTTCATGAAACAACCAATAAAAATGAAAAACCATACTGTCAGAAATGAAGTCTGTAGTCTGGTCAGAAATGCATAAAATCCGTAAGGCACAATTTACTTGGACTACTTCGAGAATAGTCTATGAAACAAAAATTCGGAGAAAACTCAGTAATTAACCTTGACATCGAGGTTACTGGTCTTCAAGATCGGTCTCATGCCGCACTTTTCCTCAACCTGATATTCCCCGTTCGATTGCCCGTTGCCCCCAAGAATCCCGTCGTTCCCAAACATCGTCGATTTCCCAGGAGCCTTATAAGTATACGTGTCATCGAAATTCTGCATGGAGCTGAAGATAGGGCCGCAACTAATCTCGTTATCACAGTACGCGACTTCGCGCGCGTTCTGCGGCTCGTTCGTTTGATAATAGATCCCGTTGTACAGCTCCGGAAAGCTGCTACGATTCTCGCATTCCCGATCAGACGTAGAATACGGATAACTCCAATTTACGTCCGAGCCCGTCACGTTGGCAAACTGCTGGGAAAAAGGATCGCGACTCGGTTCCTGCTGATAGACAGCCGGTCTGGCATCGTAAGCGTTGCACTGACCAGGAATTTCGCTGATCAGATAATCGGAAGTCATCGGGCCGTTCTGCTCCAAGCCGTCGACAGTGTAATTCTGGTAATATTGAACTGGTGGTTGAACCTGATTCGCGAACGAATATTGATTAGACTGGACCAGAGCGTGACTGGCAGGGACGTTGGCCACGCTGCCGACGTTGTTGGCTAGCATAATCTGCCGCTGGTTTCCGTTCGGCATGAGCAGAACTCTCGAGACCTTCGACATTAAATTGCCCGCCGAGTTCCAATTCGGATTTCTGGCTTCCGGTATTAACTTATTGTCGTGCGATAGACACTGGCAGCTGGTAGCGTAATTGTTCACGAAACTCGCACCCGGTGGATTGGCGGCAACGATTTGACGGCGAGCGGAAGCTTCGTCGGCGTACTTCTGGGACTTCGTAGGATTTCTTCGTTTTCTGAGAAATGAGCTGATCGACGGGAAGATTATGATCGGCTGATTCTGAGCACCGTTCTTTTTCAAGTTCTCGTAGAGCAAATACTGGTCCAAGGTGATGCCCAAGTTCCCGTTCTCGTCCAACAGCTGGACAACATTTTGCTTCGTTCCGTTTCGGTGATCCATTAGGAAGCTATTTTGCCAAGTCCGGTAGTCCGATTGGCATTTTTCCAGTGTGCAAGGGTTCAGTGAACAATCCAGGGCCTTCGACGCGATTTTCGGGGCTGATTTTACGGTATTATTCGGCGTCGATCCTTTATCCATGAGCTTCGGCTTCGGGCGGGTTAGCGACCTTTTCGATTTCAGAAAGGCCTTCTTTATTTTGACGTTGCCGGCCCTGTCGCAGATACCGCGTTCTTCATACTATAATTCGCGAAAGATTACTTCGATATTTCGCTTCGTTTCGTTTCGATGGCTGACGAAGGGATGTTTCGTGTTTGCGTGTCTGGAGGATGTTGCTCGCGGTTCTGTTGTTGAAATTTTTCGCGCGTATGCGCGCGAGATAAACTTGTCGATGACGTGAAACTATTGGCGCAAGATTTTTGTTTGTGAAAGAGCAGAAATTAATTTTGTAGATCGTATTCAGTGCGAATCTTGAAAAAATGATTCCTAGATTGCAGATTATATGCGTCTATGATAAAAATTATTTGGTCAGATCTGAAACAATAGAAACATTTAAAGAATCTAAACATACTATTGCGACATTTTCAACACATTAAAATAATTGAGAAACGAATTAAATGTCTATGTAGCTCCTCTTTTCTTTTAAATAGTGCAGACGATTTTTATTTCGCATGAAAGTCAGCTGCTTAATGATTTACTTTCGATATTGCAGTTCTCAAACAATATATTCGTGATGCTATTATTGTTAACAAGATGGTATTGTCACGAGAATTTTCTATTTTGTAATTTATTGATGAAAATAATCTCAGTTTAAGCATTCCTGTTCTCACAATCAAGATGGTTCGTTCTAGCGAAGTTTTAATGTTCAATGATTGTATTAGTATTTCCAGAAAATATTGGCGATTAAAAAATATTCTAGATTAAATTTTTTTGTGAAATTAGCACGACAGGATTTTTTTGAAACACAGTACACCGAAACGATATTATCGTGCAACTCAATGAACTTTTGATAACCTAATGAAAACCATGATTTCGAAAGATTCTCAACAACAAATACAGTGTGGCAATTAATGCTATGAATTGTGTAATAATTCTTTGATACAGATGGATCCTTCTCCCATATCTTGTACAAATGAGAATATAATGAAATAATGCTATACATAGAAAGCCTAATTCACATCGAAAATTGTAGAATACTAAAGAATCAAAAACAAGAAGAACGTGAATTAAAAATTTATCTGAGTAAATTATTATTGTAAAAAAAATTTATTTAAGCATTGCAAAAAAAACAGAAACTTATAAAGAACAATTCAAGCAACTTTTAGTTAAACATAAATTAAGATTGTAAATAGAACAAACAAGTTTGTTATGTAGTAAACAAAATGATTATGCAAATTCGTGACAATGGAGTGTTCTAAACTATGTTGGTAATGTCGATATATACAAAATAATTATTTATGTGTTAATTGCAATAAACAGAAGCCACACAAAACTCTCTAATCACTTCTCTAAAAAATGTTGATACATACAAAACAATGCA